TTCAGCTTTTTGTTCATGAATTTACATATTTTAACTAATTAAACAATGTCTGTAGCTGAAGTAACAATTATTAGACAGATGTGTTCCACTACAATTTGTCTGAGATAAAGAAGGAGTGATCTTGTTTGCTTATACTTTGTGACGAACAATTTTAGGAAACCAGCGTTAGAAAGGGAACGGTTAGCTAACAACGGTCAAAATCTTAAAATTTGTTGCAAGAGTCAAAACAACGATTTCCCTTCCTTGTAAAAACAAAATATTTTCTTGACAACTTACTGCTGGAAAAAGAATGTAATTAAAAATCAAATGAACCTTTTTCGTGTTGATAGTGACAAAAACAGAATAGTCTTTATAAGTGAAATGCTTAGAGTGAAGTTGTTGTAGTCAAACGTCTGACGCTATTCCTAATGCGTTACCTTTCAATTTTTTCAAAACGTTCGTAATCTCACAGTTCTCAAATTAAATGGTTGAACGCTTCCTTTCTTTGACGGTCTCTAAAGCTATTCACAAGTTCACAAGCGGATATAACTGCAAGTCCTTAGAGCGTTGGGTATTTTTGCATCAGTTCAGTTTGATTCAACACTTGATATTGATTGATACCTCTCTGATCTCCACAAGTTGCACAAAATGTAATTTGTTTGTGTTCAATTTAGGGTCTGAGAGATCTACGTGGGCAGCTTGTAAATAGTTCCGAACCAACCTCAAACTTTGTCTTAATTGTACTGAAGTGGGGGCGCTTACCGTCAACGTTCCACCAAAACGAGGCACTTACATATTATAACGAGGCGCTATAGTAAACGTTGATAATTAACTTGGTTTTCACTTGCCCGCTGGCACATTCGAACCTAATTTCTTTACCAAATTTTACTGAGAAAGTAAATGAGGTTACATGGGAATGGAACATTGATAAGGATAACTTGTTCCGTTGCCGTAAAACGTACATCGCCGGACTACGAAGAACAAATGTGTCCCAACCTAGTATTGAGTATAACAATTTGCATGTTGACAGAAGGCTGAAGTGTTAATTCGTTTTGTTTGTTTAAGCCTTCGTCTTCAAGTGTCCATAGATAAAGTTAAAAGGAACAAAATCCCTTTTGAACCTTCTGTGAAGACAGTCTTCAGCAACATATTGAAAGTCGTGACGTGAGGGATTATAGCCCCTTGCAGAAGAACTAAATTAATTTAGACGAGAAAGCCATTAATCGTTAATTAGCGGTCAAATTTAATAATATTAAATTCGGACCCTTTTTTGTTACAAACAAGCCCTAAACCGTCAAAGAAGTGTTACCATGGAGACTTAAACAGTGGACGTTTCTTTCTCATTTTGACCCTACCCTTGGGATTACTAGTTACATTAAATAGCTTTAGACTGATTACAAAAGAAGCTTTCAAAGGTTGCAAGTAAATTAAAATAATAGTGGTTCCTCTGTTATTAGTGTGTTAGGCTTTTGTTTTCGGCTTCTTTGACTTCTTTCTCCTTTTGCGCTTGGCCAGCAAGATATTTCTGAATAACATTAGAATAACACTTGAATAGCTTTGTAAAGCGTATGTACAGCTGTGTGGGCAAGTCAATATTTGATCTGGAATAAGTGATCAGCAATAACGATCTAATTTTCATATGAACCGTCTGTTTACTACAAAAGTTTAGTTTGTAGTGACGAATAGCTAAGAAGTGCGTGTATGGCTGTGGGTAAAGGAACGAAGTTTTCTCCACCACATGGTATCACAAGCTCTTCTTCACAGATGAACAAAACCGTCATAAGAAAACAAAACAAGTCGAAAGAAGGAAAGAAACTCCAGGAGTTTGAAGTCTTTTCTAAATTCGGGGGTCTCACCTCTAAAGACAAATTTACACAAACCAGCCTCTTCGGCAATTACGAAAAC